AATTTGGGCGGCGGTGTGCGGAGAGTTCGAACCTTACCGGGCAACCCGCTTTGGCTTTTTGCTTTTTTTTTTTTTATTGTGTTTGCTGTATTTGCCATTCGAATTTCGTCAATTTTTTTGAGCCCCAAGATATTTTTTGTTCGAGAGAAATACATGGAGACCAAGGTCTCTCATCCTCGCCTCCTTAGTGTTCGATTATTCGGTTAAGAATTAACCTCATCGAAAAAAGGGAGCCGAAGCTCCTACACGGGGCCTCTGCGTCCCGTTCGTTTGCATTGCAGTGACGACGGGCTCCGCAGATGCGTTCCTTATTTTAACGTGCCGGTACTCGCACGTCTTGCATCCAGTTTCCCTAAGAAGTGAGAATACCCTCTCTTTGTTTTACACCATGGGGATCTCGAGATCCAGACGAGAATGAAGCAGATTTTGGACTTACTTAGGTCCAAACGAGTCACGAGAATATTACTAAAAAAAAAAGAGAAAAAAGGAAAAAAAGAAAAAAACAAAGAGAGGAAAAGCGACTAAGTATTGACGTGCACGAAAACAAGACAGCTAAAGAAAATCGCACATGAGATGGTTTGGTGGTCATGGGCAAATCGGTAAGGCCCGCTGTGCCCCACGCCATGATGCGCGCGTTTCGCGGTTTGGCGTTTTGGGTTTCTTCTACCTTACCTTCACCGGCGGGAGAGATCTTCTCCTTACTTTTGGTCATGCGCAAAATTGAGGTTTCGAGGAATTTGACTTATGCGCATAATCAAAATGCTTGATCACACACATCGATGGCGGCTTCTATGACTTCTTGACCGGTTCATTAGTGTTGCGACGACATCCAACGTCGTAGACGACGACTCCCGTTGCTGTCCAATCTAATAAGCACCGCTAGCACTACTGCTCCTAGTGATGAAAGAACATCCTCCTTTTTGTGTCGAATCCGAACGCTTGTTATCGTAGCCCGTTCTACCAGAATGGCCCGCGATCGATTCTCTGTAACTCGGCCACTCGATTCCTCTTCCTCAATATCCTAGTGTCCTCTTCAAAGCGGAAAAATCTCTTTTAAAACGAATATCTTCCGGCCGTAGAAAATCTAATCGTATGTTTGATGCAATCCGACAGAAGCCTGTCACGGAACTTAATATTTGAAATTCATTAAATCTTTCTCGTCGCGCCTAATTGTTTTTTTCTTTTAACACGGAACGTTTGCAGAGCACACTGGTGAAGATCATGTAGGAAGAAATCATCATACGGGCGTAGCATGTGTACTGAACTAAATTTGGACCATCGAAAGTAGCGGGTCTGGTCCGAATTCGATTCGGTACAAGTTAATGAGCTGGTTGATCGAGAAGGGTGTATGATGTATCTATGGAGTTTTAAGAAGGGGGAACAACAAAGAGACAAAACAGGGCGATCGCTTCAATGCTATTTGTCTTGTCTTTGCACAGAGAGATGAACCCAACTGCTTAGTTGACTACACGGGGCATGCAAAGGTCGTCGTATAATAATCAACGGTTGGATTTGTTTTGTTTTCTTGCCCTTTCTTTGTTGGCTTGTGGGAAGTGGTAGCTGGATACCTTGTGTCACGTTTGACTAAGGGCCATTAAATGAGCGAGCCGGATCAGATTTGAGTCGGATCGAAAATGGTTAGATCCAGATCGATCGATTTAACCCGTTTTGACCGATTAATTTATATGTAATACAAATTCGGTGATCCATACACAACCCAATCCACGTTACTAAAAACACATTGATATAAAAAAAAAAATAACTTTTATGTTATGCTTGCAGTGTATACACGATAAAATTTTTCAGTAGTTTTATAATGTTCCCAATAAGATTTTCAACGTGTTTGCAACTTTTTATCGCAAAATTTTCGAGCTTCCCAATAAAATATATGACATCTCTTAAACTCAATAAATCAATAAATATTGACATGCAAAATCATATACTAGTTTTCACGATTTTCTAAACTCGAAAGATCATAAATCTTTTACTATTTATTAATTTTGAAAAGAAGAAGAAGATCATAAGGAGAAGATAAAGACAGAAAATAAGTTGCCCCACTCGAAAATCCCTAACCTGAACCCCGAAGACAAGTGAAGAGGGGTTGTAGGATGGATTGAGCTTTAGGCCCATTAAAACCCACGTTTTATTGGACTTCGTTACTCAAGCCTATATCAATCCATCTAGCAAATTTTAGCTAACCAATATATGACCCAATCTATCGTATATGCGTTAATAAATGGGTCTTCAACCCATTTTGACACCTCTACTCGTACCTTAGTCAATTGGATTCCCCGACATGTTTCAAAGTGCGTATTAGGCTTTTACAATCTTAATTTTCACATGTTTGCACGAGCCCACGCACTCCTAAGAAGGGGCAACACCAGCAGATTGAAACGGGGTCACGATTCGTCTTGTATATGGTTTTGGGATGTATAATGTGGATGGCCTCGATACGTAGAACGATAATAGAAACACAAAAGGGAACACTCCTCGCCAAAAAAGCCTAGCTACTTTTTTATGTATAGGGTACGAGTCGGGGTGGGTTTCTTGTGGCTTAACACGGGGATTCGATTGAAGGTATTTGCCAACTCGGATCTAATTTGGCTGTTTAAACCGAGTTTATGTGCACCATGAAGCAAATAAGTAAGCAGCAAATGGGCCTGCCAACCGTGAAACTGTCAAATTAGACCATGCCTTAGTTTTTGTTTGTGTTAATACCACGAAAAACCCCAAACTGGTACACCTGTGACAAATTTACCCCGAACTATTTTTTTGATCACAAAAAACCCCAAACCGGTATACTTGTGACAATTTTACCCCGAACTATTTATTTGACCACCAAAAATCCTACACTGGTACACCTGTGACAATTTTACCCCCGAACTAATTTTTTGGTACACATGTCAATTACCACTTGTCATTAAACTTCGCAATTTGACAGTAAAATTTAACGGAAACTAACGGAGGGTAAATTTGTCACGGGTGTACCAGTTTGGGGTTTTTAGTGGCCAAAAAATTAGTTCGGGGGTAAAATTATCACAGGTATACCAGTGGGGGGTTTTTTATGGTCAAAAAAATAGTTCGGGGTAAAATTGTCACAGATGTACCAGTTTAGGGTTTTTTGTGGTCAAAAAAATAGTTTGGGGTAAATTTGTCACGAATATACCAGTTTGGGGTTTTTCATGGTATTAACCCTTTTTGTTTCGACCTCCTTCTGGATTAACTATGTTTCTTGTGAGTTACAAAATGGCACATTTCGATGTTTTGGAATGGAGTTTGTTCGATAGCATAATTATACTTAACATAGGCTAAGACGCTATCTTGGACGTTCAGAAAATAAGGGCTTATCCCAACCAAACTCATAAACTTTACCCACGGTGACACCAACTCCCAAATTTTCAAGCGATTGACCAAGACCTTTCGACTCGTGCTAGTTACCCCAAAATACATTCCATTAGAATTCTGTCGGCAATGGTCATAAGTTATGGCCAACGGATGTGCCGTGGCCTGTTCATAGCCCGCCTTCTCCTTAAAATGATGATCTTGAGGGGAAAGAAAGGTTGCATTCTAGCGCACGTTCAGCTCGAAACATCGGCGTCCGAGGAATTTGGGGCAAAGACAAAAATGACGCGATTCGAAGTTGTCTCCTTAGATTTGGAGGTGATGCCTCCACCGGGTTAGGTGGAGCTCGATGCGGCATCGAACTCGACAAGAGAGATACAAAAAAATAAACAGAGAGATAAAGAATTAGGGTCCGTCGTTGTGGCAGTGCGAGCGAGAGTGGCACGGGGGGCTCAAAGACGGGGGATGGCGGGCGGAGGCGGTGTGGGGCAGCAATGACCGACGGCGGGGGTGATGGTGGGTGGAAGAAACTAAAGTTAACCTTTGTTGGCTTTGGGAAGAGTAATAGGCATTAGAATTGGGTTAGTTCAAAAAAAAAAAAAACACAAACTTTATCTTGAGTGACAATTCTGGCCCGAACTTTTTTTTGTCTCAATAAAAAGCATCAACTTTTACTCGAGTCTCAAATTTGACCTTCGTGATGTAAAATTTTCAAATTGTTCGGGTCAGATTTTGGATTTAAGTGAAAGTTTGTGATTTTTATAAGATAAAAAAAAGTTTAGGTCAGAATCATCACTGGAGATAAAGTTTGTGCTTTTTTTTTTTTTTGAATTAAACCCGTTAGAACTGGGAAGAAGAAGGGTTTTTGTTGCATCGAGGGAAGGACAATATCCATCTTTTTGGTTGCGAAGTTTTGTGGGAGGATGCAAAGTGGTATTTTGAGAATTAGAGGATGCAAAGTGGCATTGATGTCAAAAGTAAGGAGGTCTTTTTTTTTTTTTTTTTACAAAAGCAGAAAAGTGCTTAGAACAAATATATTCATTTACCTTTATTGAATTTTCTTTCCTACCCCATTTCCTCCCTTCCCAAGCATAGCATCAACTCAAAATCAAATCAATGCTACACGAATTAAGAATTCATAAGAAATTTTTACTAAATGATGGGGGTCAACCCATGTGGCGTATGCTACGTCATCAAGTACGCATACGACAGGCAATAACGATACATAGAAAAGAATGGAAAATAAAAGTTGGGTAAGTTTCGAGCAAAGTTTCATTTATTTTGAGGAAAATAAATGATTCGGAAAATATTTCCTTAAAAACAATTGCTCGTGTTACTTATAAAAACGAACGAACGAATTGTTTTTTTTTGTATCGTCAACGAAAATATTTAGAAATAGATTGTTATTCGTATTGTAACGAAAATATTTTTCATTAACTAATCATGTCAAGCGACACAAATGATCGTTTTCATGAAAATATTTTTCAAACGATTTATTTTTTCGCGGAAAACAAACGGAGCCAAATGTGTCGCGAAGAAATGTTACGAGATTTTTAATGATATTATTAATCCTAAAAAACAATATAGAATGGGTTGGGACACAGCTCCAATAAATAAGATAACGAGCCAAAACCCAAGAAATTTGTGGGCCCATTGGGTTAAACATCATCTTTCTTCCTCTTCTGCGCAGCACAAAGCAACGCGAGTCGCGCCTTCGCAAAAAGCTTCCGTTCGATTCCAGTCGGCAAAGAGTTCCGTCGCGGTTGCCGAGCATGGCGGAGGTGGTGCAGCAGGAGGAGGAGGCGGCGGCGGTGGCGATCCCCTACAAGAACCTCCACAGCAGAGAGTACCAAGGTCACAAGAAGAAGGCACGTTGCTTCTCTCTCTCTCTCTCCACCCTTTCGCTTTCGCCGCGTGCGCTCGTATCCTTTTTTCGAGCATTGCTCGGTTGAACAAATGGGGAACGGCAGGTGCATTCGGTGGCCTGGAACTGCGCGGGGACGAAGCTCGCGTCCGGCTCCGTCGATCAGACGGCTCGGGTCTGGCACATCGAGCCTCACGGTCACGTGAGTCCCCTCTTGCCGATTCTTGTCTGATTCCGTCGTTGGTTCCCGCTTCGTTGATCTGGAAGAGCTGTTCTAGAGCTACATGCCTAGGGTTACATGTACATGCTTTTGAATTTTCCTTGTTGGTTTTTTGGGTAGAAGTGGTGATGGGCTGGGACTGTGGGGGTACAGTGGAGTTAGGGTTGTTTCGGAAGGACCAGCGTGTAGCGCAAATAGAGAAGCTTGAACGATCGTGCCGATGCTTTCGCCTTCTTTGCAGGCAAGCTTCAATTTTGTGAACACCCTTTTAACCGAAGTGGTGAAATGAATGATTGGGTCTTTCTTTAGATAAAGAAGAAATGAATCAGTAATTTGTTAGTTACGCCACGCTATAGGATGCTCGAATTGGAGCCGTAAGACTTTCCAATCATTCATTGCGAGATTTTGCTCCTGATGGGTCGAGGAAACCGGTCTTGGCTTGCGGTAGGATTGAAGAGGACTGGGGGTTAGGGGCAGGAGCGGATTTTTGTATGTGGCGTTTTATTTGCTGAAGTGTCGCGTTGCGGCATTTAGTTGCTAGAAGCGACTATGAAGAATGTTTACTTGCCACGTCGAATTGGGCTTACAGGGTAAGGTTAAAGATGTTGAATTGAAAGGGCACACTGACAGCGTGGATCAGCTATGTTGGGATCCGAAGCATTCGGATTTAATTGCAACAGCATCAGGTGACAAGACTGTGCGGCTGTGGGATGCGCGAAGTAAGTGAATGCACCATCTTCATTTCATTGTTACTTTCTAGTTCTTTTGAAATTTTACCTTCATTTGGCTTGGGTGGATGAGCACAACTGACTGCGAATTGACCTCTTATGTCCCAGTATTGTTGGTTATTATCAATTAGCGAGAATCTTTTTTTTCTATGATAGAAACAGTTTTCTGTTTGGAATTTTATACATGGTGAAGTCTTTGTATAGGGGTGGTGCCCCCTTGGTACATTTCCTCAATAGAGTTTGTTTATCCTTCAAAAGAATACTTCACAATGTCATCGCTTTATTCCAAATCTACATCTTTCGATTTTTTTATCCTGCAGACAGAAATCTGATAAATTAAGCCCGACAGTGACATGCAGAGGATATTTGATGATTTTGGTTATGTATGCTCTGGGTCACACAGGTGGAAAATGCTCACAGCAAGCAGAACTTAGTGGGGAAAACATCAACATAACCTACAAACCTGATGGAACGCACGTGGCAGTTGGCAATAGGGTATGCTCTATGTTTCTGTGACGGGTTTAAAAAGTCGTTTTGAGATAGTTCTCTCAGCAATCAATTAGAATTATTAAGGAATGATAGCTTTCTAGGAATCTTTCAGCCATCGAGATGTTCTAAAAAAATATATGACTGTGCCCAGTTTGTTCTATGTAGGATGATGAGCTAACGATTTTGGATGTTCGGAAGTTTAAGCCAATTCACAAGCGGAAGTTCAATTATGAGGTAATCCTGTTTAACAGACATAGCAAACTTTTGCAAGTCATCTACGATATATGGTTACTTTGAATGAGCTTTAGCTGTGTGGCCTTCTCATAGTGAGGTTTGAGACATGATTTGGGAAAATTCTTGGCTTATAATTTGGCCAAATATTTGATATGAGATGTGCTGGAACTCTGGTGCAGAATAACTTATATTGTTTCCCATTTTAAATGAACTGCACTTTCATTTCATCTGTTCATGAGTCCGCCACAAGAATTAAGATGAGCAGCTGACAATTTCGTTTCTGATGCTGTCTCTGTAGCTGACTTATCATATCCTCTGTTATGGATCATTTGAACTTGTCTGTAGTGAAATAAGGCCAGTTTTCCGTACCATGATCCATGACACTGATTGCGATGATATACATCTCTACTGCCCTTCACTTTGTTTGGTTGATTAGTCGACCTGACTAATCATCACTCTTCCAGGTAAATGAAATAGCATGGAACATGTCAGGAGAGATGTTCTTTTTGACGACAGGAAATGGTGCGATCATTTTTTCTCCTGTCTACTTTTTTTTTTCAACGGGCAAAAGAGCCTGTTCACCTAATAAATTTATGGTATCGACTTCTCTATGTATTTAATTATGCTATATACTGCGGCTTGTTGAACTGCCCCAGGTACTGTGGAAGTATTAGCATACCCATCCCTTCGACCTATTGACACCCTTATGGCTCACACTGCCGGGTGCTATTGTATTGCAATTGACCCAGTCGGAAGGTGCGCATAAAGCTCCTTTTTTCTGTTCAAATTGTACCACCTTTTCACTTGTAATCAATGTGCTCTTGACCTGACAAAATCTATAGATAGTCATGGTTCTTGACATCTTATTTGTGTTGGTTTAAGTTGAATTTGCATGGGTTGAGCAATATTTAAGGGACATTGATGGAAGATTAGCGTGTCTTTCCAGATGATTGAACTTTTGTGTTCACCCTAATGCTTATGTTCTTTATTGTATGTAACCTGTCTGTCACTATGGTCTAGACACCGATAAGAGCTTCATGTACCAAATATTTTCCCTTTTTAAATTGAGTGAAAGATGCTCATGTCCTCAAGTGACGTGGATACCCTCTCCTGTGGGGTTGCTTTGAAAGCTAAATTCAACCATTTTCTTCCATGAAGTGGGGTCGACAGAACTGTTAACTAAGTCAGCCTGATTATTTATGTTTGGTTCATGAACTGTATCTATTACAGGACTATTTCTTTGAGAGGTCTTACTTAATGGGTTTGGAAAATCTGATTCACTGTGGGTTTTAATTGTATCTGAAGTCTCAAAATACTGGAAGTCAATGTTCTCTGTCGTTAAAAATTTTAAGACCAGCATTTTACGAGATTATTTGTAATCATCTCACAGTTCATTTTTATGTTACCTGCCTGAAAGTGTTAACAAATAATGCCCCTGCCTATGCAGAGTCGGATGGGCATTATTCTCAAGCATCCTTTTCGTATCTGCAGGTATTTTGCTGTCGGAAGTGCAGATTCCTTAGTGAGCCTGTGGGATATCTCTGAGATGCTCTGTGTGAGGACTTTTACGAAACTTGAGTGAGTGCTCCAATCCTTTATGTTAATATTTCGTGTATTGCGTGTTATGGTCACCTGCTATCCTGTGGATAAGATTGACCCTCTTTCCTTTTGCAGATGGCCTGTAAGGACGATAAGCTTCAATCATACTGGAGACTACATTGCTTCTGCCAGTGAAGATCTGTTCATTGACATTGTATGTTTAAGTGAAACTGTCTTTTGTGGTCTACTTTTGTGCTCTCATTCTCTACCTGACTTGCAAAACTTAGGTTTTTAAAGATGAATTGGTCGATTCTTTATACATGTGGTGGGAATGGGGATTTGGATGTAAACCTAACATTAAAAATTCTACCACCAAAAAATAAGAAGTGAGTAGTTGCATGAAAGTTTCACTCTTGATTAGCATTCTCCTGCAAAAATTTTAAAAATGAATTGGTAATGAATTGAGTGTTTGCAAATAAGAAGTGTTGGTTCTTGTTAAAGAAATGACGGAATTCATGCTGCTGGAAACAGTCAAATGTTCAAACCGGACGGACAGTGCACCAAATTCCATGTCGAGCTGCAATGAACAGTGTGGAATGGAATCCTAAATACAATTTACTTGCATATGCTGGGGATGACAAAAACAAGTATCAGGCAGATGAAGGTACTACTTATGATCTTAATCTGAAGTTAGCGGTAATCTCTTTATTCTGGTGACTGGTGTTGTCTCTAATCTCTTTTTGCCCTTTTACTTCAGGTGTTTTCCGGATATTTGGATTTGAGAGTGCATGAGATTCCAGAGCACTTTTTGTAGGGGTGAAATGATTTTAAGCACAAAAGTTTCCAATCTTGTGTTCGCTTAGGATTTTGTGTACACATATTCAAAAATCTCTCATGTATGGCACAGATGGAGTTGTTTGTACGTCTTGTTTATAAAGGAAGAGCGTGTTCTTTCTTTGATCTTACTAAGAACTTATATTCTTCTTCAGAAAGGTTTTTTATATGGAGGTGGGGTTTTACGTTAAATTCATCGGAACAGGTTAGGCCATCGAGTCATAGAATTGTTGCAGAAACTCGGAAAGAAATGTTATTCAACGCGATACAGCTCTTCGGCCCTAAAATGAAATATTTTGATACAGCTCGTGTAAATAAGCACACAGGCAGTGTTGCTTCGAATCATTCTCGCCATTGGGATCTCGATCTTCAAAAGCCCTGAGAAGCGTTGTAAGAATAAGCGCACGGGCAGGCATTGCTTGGAGCAGGAGTAGCTGATTTCGCATCATCCCGAGCAACATCGGACCCAGTTGCTTCATCCCCGAGCAGATCTCAATCTTCAAAAGCCCTAAGAAGCGTTGTAAGAATAAGCACGCAGGCAGGCATTGCTTGGAGCAGGAGTAGCCCATTTCGCGTCATCCGGAGCAACATCCCGAGCAACATCGGACCCAGTTGCTTCATCCCCGAGCAGATCTCAATCTTCAAAAGCCCTAAAGAAGCGTTGTAAGAATAAGCACGCAGGCAGGCATTGCTTGGAGCAGGAGTAGCCCATTTCGCATCATCCTGAGCAGCATCGGACCCAGTTGCTTCATCCCCCGAGAGGTCTAGGAATAAGAGATGGCAAGAACAAAGCTTCACACAAATTCCGGTGGAAACATTATGCCCTCCGCCAGTCTCCGGTTCTGACGTCCTCTCCGAATAGCGTCGAAAATCTGCAAGAAAAATTAAAATGGAAACTAATTTTCTTCGTCACCCTTCTAAAAAGTGGAGCGCTTTCAATCACTGATCGAAACTGTTACCTTCCCCCTGGTTTTTCGTATTCACATGTCCGCAAAATCGCGAAATTCACTCCCGTACAAAACTCGACTCCGGCGATGGCGCGACTCAGCAAAGGATGAATTTCGAAGCAGGGGCCATCAGACCTGCAAAACAGAGGAGACACACGGTGACCACGTTCTGAGAACACCAAGTGAGCGGCCTCCACTTGATCTCGACACTGGAGCTCTTCATCCTCTTCCCGATGGTCGGCTCCTTGGACAGGTCGAAGCTCGCCCCTTTCATCCTCAGCTCCTGAACGCACCTCCCGAGCGCCCGGTTATCGTTCCTCTCCCTCTGCAGCTGCCGCGAGACCTTCCAGTACCGCCAGAGCTTCACCTGCACCAAGCCCACAAACACAAGGGAAGTGCACAGTGACAGAATGGCGGGCAACCACCACTTCTTGCAAACGCTGTGGCGGTGGTGGTCGTCAGCGGAGTTAACGGCGGACGTGTACAAGAGGGTCAGGAAGAATCCGTGAAAGATGAAGAAGGAGAAGCAGAGCTGGAAGATCTCGCGTCTCGCCGAGTCCAGCCGCCCCTCCTTGAGCGTGGCCCGGCGGCCGAAGAGGGCCTCCTCCCTCTGCCAGAGCTTGAGCAGCAGGAGGTGGCCCGGGCTCCGGGAGATCTCCATCAGCGGGTGGTGCTGGATCGCGGCGGCCAGCGCCGCGTTCGTGGCCGAGGAGGAGAGCTTCTCCAGGTGCTCCTCGTCGACGGGGATCTCGACCACATGGGCATCTTTCGTTTCGGAAGCCATGGAAAAACAAGGAAACCGAACAAACTGCGGGGATGCAGAGACGTAGCCCGTGCGCGCGGATCGAAACTAGAAAGCGCGAGAGATCGCGGCGAGCAATGAACAAGCGAATAACTTAACTTAGCGAAGAGAGAAAAAGAGCTTGAGATGGGGAGAAGAAGGTTTTGAGTGATCAGAAATGGAAGGAGAACGAGGAATATATAGAGAGAGAGAGAGACAGAGAGCGAACAGGGGATGGTGATGAACCTGCTGATGAACTCCGTCCTGTGGCGTTTCGATCGCAACGGTCATATTTTCGGCTCCCTCCGAATTAATCAATTGGATCCGGTCGGGTCAACGGTTACTCCGTTAAAGCGGGATCCGTTTGCGGCCCAACGCGTCCTTGAGAGGGCCCAATCAGAATGCGGCCCATAACAGGCCAGGCCCGTCATTGGGCCCATAATCTTTGAGTAACGTTGGAAATAATTATCCTTCGAGACGTGAAATCGAATGGGAATTTATGGCGAGATTTTGTTGATTTATTTCGTGGATCGATGTTGACGTGTTTAACATGAATCATTGACATATTTTTTGTGTTAATCACGCGTTAGCTTTCGAGCACGGGATTAATAAATCGTTTTTTTCTTCTTTTTTTTTCATTTTGAAACGAGTCGTCACCTCGAGTGGGATAAGGAAATTTTGCGAGAATCACTTTTGCTTCCTCTTAACTTGGGTTATACATGGTAAAGAACTGGACTTCAAAAGCAGCTTCCTATCCACTAGCATGCTGAGTTATGGCGACAAATTCACTATTCTCGAAGCTTCGGATCGTGAGTGGTATCAAGTAATTATGACTCAAACCGAATATTTCGTAACAGATGGGAGACCCTTATGATAAAGTTTAGAGGAGCCATTTGCCTCTCCCTACCTTTTTTACCGATTGAATTAAAACGGAAGAACCGGACTTCGAAGCTTTCAAGTTCCCTGGAGCTTTTCTATAATCGTTGTTAATTCACATGTACGTCTGCAGTCCATCACGCGATAATTCTGCGCAGAAATGAAACTCGAGAAAGTCGGCCTTGAAAAAAAAAAATGGCAATCTTCTGAAATTCGACCTGAAACGTGAGTTGCACATCATGTGAACCCTTATGGATTGATCGATTAGATTACGTCGGTCTAGTCATGCGTAAAATGCTTCGAAAAAAAATTGCAGTTACGAAGATCTATCGTCCGGTCCAAGAAACGAGAGGGGAAAAAAAGAGAAAAAACCGGCCGGTCGAACCCGGTCGGATCCCACCAGCGATGTCCCGGTTCTGGGCGCAAGAAAAGTGCACCCAAAAGCTGGGTGGGCCCCCCCACCACTCGTGGTGTAAGTGCTGACGTCACCACGAATATAGTTCGAGATTTGATCGAAGCGGCAGTTCAGTTCAATGGCCACATTCGTTGCCACGTCACCAACGCAAACCAAGGCGCTTTTGGATCCATTCGCACCCCCGAATAAAAGTTATGTCGGGTTTTAAATGGAAAATGACTCCTCCTGAAATTGATTACTTATTTTGCCCGCCACGAAAAAAAATCTAGATATAAATTATTAATGACGACGAAAACACATTTTTTTAATATTTTTTAAATTATTTATTTTTCGTGAACCAGACAAGATTTAAAAAATATAATTTGCTGCCTCGATAAATGGGTCATATTCAATTTTAATCTAGACCATCTTCATAGAGTTTGTTGCTCTACGTGTGAGAATTTTCCGTGCATTCGGTGCTCTATCGGGTCCCATAGACACGACCGTACGGGAAAATCGGGATGATTTGAACCGGTGTTCGAAAACCGATCTTGTCCGACTATTTAAACCGGATATCCAATCTCGTGTTTTGGCGATTCACCTCGATTCAATTGTATAGCGCGACTTTAGAGATCTCGGGATGGATGAATCGCGATGCATAAAATTCGGCTCGGACCACGCGACTATTCCAAAAAAAAAGATATCAGCTAGACCTTCGATATGATATTGAAAAAACAAAAACGCTGGTCTAAAAGCTCAAGATCACGACCCGAATTGTCCTTCAAGAAATCCCTAAAGAAAAATAATAAAAAAAAGAAAACAAGAACATCATGGGTGACTGGTTGACGGGAATGCAGGAAGTCAATGTGAAACGAAAGCCGCCCCCCCCCACCCTCCCTCCCCGCACCGTTAGCTCCGGTCGCCCGGTCAAGATCACAACCTGGACTGTCCTTCAAGAAATCTCTAAAGAAAAATAATAAAAAAAATTAATATCACCGAAAATCTCAAATTGATATATTATTATCAATTTATCCAAAATTAATTTTTTAACCACTAAAAACCAAAAACTGATACATTTGTGATAATTTTATCCTCCATTAATTTTCGATAAATTTTACCGTTAAATTTCTGAATTGGATGACACATGACAGTTGACGGTTGTACCAGTTTAGGGTTTTACTCTCAGTTCGTCATATGTGTTTCAATTTGTGATTTTTCGTGGTATTAATTCAATTTAACATAGGGTAAATTTGTCATTAGTATACCAGTTTGGTGTTTTTGGAGGTCGGTAAATTTGTTACAGGTGTACCAGCTTAGGATTTTTTGTTGTCAAAAAATTAGTTTGGGGTAAATTTGTCACAGATATGCTGGTTTTGATTTTTTCTTGATATTAACCCAAAAAAGGAAAAAAAAAACAAAACCGGTGGCTGGTGGACCGAACCATGGAAAGTTAATGTGAAACGAAAGCCCCCCCCTTCCCCACTCAATAGCTTTGGTTTCTTGGTCAAGCCACCTGGCTAGCACTCACACACTCACCAGCTTGTCCGGACTTTTTAAACCGGATATTCAACCTCTCCTTTTGTCAATTCACGTCAATTCAATTGTATTACGCAGCTTTAAAGATCTCGAGATGGATCAATCGCGATTCATGAAAGTTAGCTCGGACCACACAGTAACCCCATAAAAGATATCAGCTTGACCTTCAATATGGATATTGAAAAAAAAAAAAAAAGCACTGGTCTTGAAGCTCAAGATCATCACCACCTGAATTGTCCCTCAAGAAATCCCCCCCGAAGCAAAACAACATGAAAAAAGGCAAAAAAAAAAGACATAACCGGTGACCGGTTGACCGGACCGCGGGATGTCAATGTGAAACGGGAGGCCCCCGCCGGTAGCTCCGGTTGCCGGTCAAGCCACCTGGCCCACGCTCACGTGCGCGCCACCTCCCCGTCCATATATAAACGGAGAAATCACCCTCGCTCTCTCTCTCTCTCTCTCTCGCTTTCTCTCTCCCTTCTCTCTCAGCTCTCTCTCATTTCTTGCCCAGAAAGAAAATGAGCAGAAGATCCCATTGACACACCCGCTCCTCCGCTCTCCACAGAGTACTCCCCAACCGAAAGAGCTCGCTCCAGCTCCGCCAAGGCCTTCGACCTCCCGATTCGCTCGCCGGTTCCGATCACCGCGCCGGATTGGATCGCGCCGGTGAAGGGAAGGGAGGGGGAAATGCATCTGTACAATGCGTGGCTCCCGCCGCCGGTGGCGGAGGAGACGAAGAAGGAGCGGGAGTCGTTCGCTTGGGCGGTGCGGTCCGTCCGCGAGTCGTGCCGCCCCGACGATCCCGACTCCGTCTACTCCACACTCAAGTGGATTTCCGTCCTCGAAGCGTGAGCCCTCCCTGCCATTCCCTGTTCAGTTCGATTTTGCTCTTTTGCTTTTCGCTCTCTCTCTCTCTCGGCGGTTGTTGGACCGCGATCGGTGTTTTGCTGGTGCTTTGCTTGCGAGCTGCTGGTGCTTAGATGGTCTGCTCGTCTCGGATGGAATCGTCGGTGGATAGAGATAGGGGAAGGGAGCTGCGGTTCAGCGGAGGACCGAGCCAGCGAGCCTTGTCGATGCTGTTGTTGTCTTCATCCGTGGTTGAATGTAGTTGGAGATGGAGATGCAGCTTTGCTGAGCTCAAGTGCTGTCGACGGAATGGATAAATCGGTGTTTCGACGCTGATTGAGAGAACGCGTGGCGAGTAGTGAGCTCGACGAGAGGATGCCTCCCGGAATGGTTCCTCCCGTAGAGGGAAGATTGATAGTATTGCATAGGATGTTGTCATTCTAGAGTTGCAAAAGTAGTGAATCAATCTGTCAATTGTGTTCAGTGGTAGATGACGATGATTTAATTCGACTTTTTCAATTATCGTCAGTTCGTTTAATTTGGCTTGAAAGCTCACTGCCTAGAACTGTGATGAGGTGCCTGCGGTAGATGAGAACTTTTGCCTGGTGCTTCATGCTGACTTACTTTAGTCCCGCAAATCTTTTTTTAACCGGTCGTGCTTCCACCCATCATCACATCTGCAAATGAACCAAGGAGCAGCTGTCGCTGCTATATATCAAGAGTTGATGGGAAAGGAGCTTCTTCGCAGCTTGTCCAATCGAAGTGAATCATGTGCCGGTGTTGTGGAAATGAAAATATTTTTTTTTTTAGGATTTAGGATTACAATAGTAGGAATTTTCCCTCCAATTCTTGGAAGTACCTGTACCCTTTTGAACCAGAGCCATTTAATTACCGAGTCTTACTGCTTGAGAATCTGGTTCTAGAAATTTTTTTCTCTTCTGAATTACTCTGAAATTTTGGAAGAGAGTAGTCCATTATTCTTCATGAATTGCTGCACTATTATTAGAAGTAGCCGATCGGATGTTATTTAGTTTGGTTACACGCTTCTCGTCTCATGGCTATTACGTGATCCTTCTGCTTTATTTATTTGTAGTTTCATAAAGGCGAAAAGTGAAGTAGATCTGCAAGACGTGGCTGCTCTTGTGGATTTTGGCTTGGAATTGTTCCTTAAATCACAGAATAAGCTTCATGCTCAGGTGCTCCCTTCTCAGTTGCAGCACATGTAGATTTGTCACCATCTTTTTTACTTGCTGTTACAAACGTTTGCTGACTATCTCTGTGAATCAGGTGAGGTGGGGAAGCATTATAGTCAGGGTCCTTAATAAGTATCGGAAGAAGTTGTCTCTGAAAGTTATGTGGCGACCCTTATACGATACCCTTATCCATACGCATTTTACAAGGTGAGTGTTGTTCATAAACATGTCAGATTCGTGGAATGCACAGGCCGTCATTAACATGTTAGAATTGTGCTTAGCTGATAGAACTTCATTGCTATTGATATGAGAATGATTGTTTCTAGTTGTGCTGCAAAAACAGTAGAATGTTTTCTTATCTTATAAATTATGGAAGTGTATATAATTGTTAATTGGCCTAGAGATCGCACTTTTTTTTTTTTTCCAAACTATTACGTTTTATAGGTAATTTGTATGCACGGAGCTTTCCTCGATGACTCTGCATTTCCATGCCCCACGCCTTCATCTTCTTCTTCTTCTTCTTAATCAATTTTATGTAAGTTTGGTATGTGCTTTGAAATTTGTATGGGAACTTGTAGGAGTAATGGTCCCGAAGGTTGGAGATTGAGACAAAGGCATTTTGAGACTGTCACTTCCCTTATTCGATCCTGTCGGAGATTCTTCCCGCCTGGTTCTGCCCTTGAGATTTGGTCCGAGTTTAAGTGAGTTTCTGAGTATTCCAAATTAACTTTCTCGTCCTCTATAAATTCCTTGATGATGTGGAATACTACTGTTGAAAGTCTGTCGATGATTCCAAGAAGTTGTCATTCCGTCTCTTTGTTTAGCATTATCAAAGAGTATATGAGGGCAATTTGTTGCTAAGAAAATGCATGTCTATTGTGTTTGCTATGTTTTACTTAAAAATTGTAGCTTTTGACAGAGTATTTGAACTTATGCTGAAGAGTCTCAGTTTGGATTTAGATTGAACAGATAACAGGTTCTGGTCAAATTTTTGTTTAGCTGGGTGTTTCTAGCTACATCCGTCTTCTGATTTCTCTATTTCTTTTGATTGTTGAGGGAGATTGAGCAATCTCTCTGGTCTGTCCACGTGACAAAAAAACTTAAAACTTTGACAAGCCATTGCATATCTGGGCAAGTGGTATAGTTTTTACTTGATAAGTCTGCTGTTATAGAATATGCTGGAATGTTATTGTGACTTTTCCTCTTACCTTTTCCGGATTCTGATTTTAGCTTTCATCATATTTAGTATGCTAATTTCAATGCCTGATTTTGTGATCTCATTTGCTCAATGCAGACTGTGGTTTATTTGCTACTCAGCCTCTAACTGTTATTGGCTTTTTCTTTCTGTTTTTTGATTAACCAAACTTGCAGATGCTTACTTGAAAACCCTTGGCATAATTCATCCTTTGAAGGTTCTGGCTTTGTTAGACTCTTTCTTCCCACAAATATGGATAACCAGGAGTTTTTTTCAATGTATGGTAAACAATATTCCCATCTTTTATTCTCTTACTCCTTGTGGGTGATGGAAAAGTTATTCTCTTGTTTGCATTGCAGGGAGTGGATAAAAAATTGTATAGACCTCTGGGATGCTGTGCCGAACTCCCAATTCTGGAACAGTCAATGGGCTGCAATCATAGCACGTGTGATTAAGAACTACAACTTTATTGATTGGGAGCCTTTCTTGCCTGCTCTCTTTGCTAGATACTTGAATATGTTTGAGGTGCGTGTGCGAAACTTTGAAGCTAATTAAAAATGATATTTGGATCATTATGTTTGGCGAACATAGTGATTAAGCGTGTTAAAAGGCTTCGGATGTAATGCTCTCCCTGGATACGCTGGCCACAATTTTTTAATTGACAAGGAACTCCACCTTAGAGATGGCATTAGAGCTGGTGACCTTGACTTTGATGGTAGAGAGATTGTCATTGGTGGCTAATTTGCCATTTGGATAAAACGAATGGTGGTGGAAATGTGATGGTCAGAACCATTTGGCAATATTACCAATGAGAAAGCAAAAGGACTGAATCTTCTGCAAGCGAAATGTTAAAGCTAGCTAATTTCCTTGGATAATTACAATGCACTTTTGAAAGATTTTTGACCCATACATTATTCTGGCTTTTAGATTTTGAGGAGAATTATTCTTCCATTTAAATAGTTTCCTCGTAATGATCGTTTGTGTTTCTCTATGAAACTGCTTCATATGATATAGAGCTAAAGCTGGAAGTTGAGGAATTAGGATAGATCTTATTTGACCGAAGCAAGGCAGAGGCTTCCATCTTTGTTCCCCTGAGATAGACTGCCAAGCAAACTTGCATTTAGGTTGGAGGATGGATGATTGGAAGTGGGATAACAAAGAAGTATGTTTGCTTTTGCAATATCACGTCCTCGCGTGCTTGAAGTAAAGTGGACACGCTGTGACTCTCTTCCCTATCACGTCTAGAAGTGGGGGAGTTCACTGAATGGTGTTCATAATTGTTGGCTCGTACTGCGTTGTGCGACGCTTGGAAGGGATGCCCCTTCATGAAGTTATAGTCAGGAAATAGCCTGTATGCTTGAAAAAATTCAATGAAAGAGAATTATTTTGGTGCGAATAAAGGTAAATTTGAGTTTGCTATGTTTATCTTATCTCTGATATCTGACAAAGGATGGTCTCCTCTCTCTCTCTCTCTCTCTCTCTCTCTATGTTGTAAGTATTTTGAAATCTTAAATTCCATGCTTCTTTCTGGTATTTGTAGGTTCCTGTGGCAAATGGAAGCGCATCGTATCCTTTTTCTGCAGATGTTCCTAGATATACAAGGTTTTTGTTCCCAAACAAGACGACTACACCTGCAAAGGCCATTGCAAAAGCGATTGTAAGTTATTAGAATTCCCTACAATTTGTGATTTTCCTCGAGTTCATATATGTATGTCCAGTTTTTAATGCATTAACTGTTACTGCATCACAGGTTTATTCATTAAAACCAGGAAGTTCTGCCCAAGAGCACTTAGAGAAATTGATCAACCTCTTAGAACAGTTTGTTTTCTGGGGCTTACACTCCTAATTGGTCTTTTCTGTGTGTGATTCTATCTGAAGTTCTTCTTCATTTTGAATTTACAGGTATTACCATCCATCTAATGGGGGTCGCTGGACTTATTCACTGGAACGCTTCTTGTTCTATATGGTTGTTACATTCCAGAAGCGCTTGCATTGTGAACAACAGTAAGTTTCCAAATTTTAATGCTTAAGACTTTGAGTGTTTTTGCCTCGCTCTGCAAGGTCTGTACAGTTCTAAGTGAATCATGGTACAGGAACTTGGACAATAAGGGAGCAGCTGAACTGGCCCTAGGGAAGCCAGAGAGAAAATCTTTTGTCAGTGCAATGCTGAGATTAGTTGATCGTGGCCAATATAGCAAGAGTGAGCACCTATCTGAGACAGTTGCTGCAGCAACTTCCATCTTGTCTTATGTGGAACCTTCTCTGGTCCTTCCATTTTTAGCTTCTCGGTTTCATATGGCATTGGAGACGGTTAGTATTTTTCTTTTGGTGGTCTGATGTTTGCATTAGACTCGATAGTATTCTCTGGACAGAATGTTGGTTGGTGGCGGGATCTTTGGTACATCTTTGCTTCTTTATACTTTGCTGGTTTCATCCCATTAACTTCGCTTAATCCTGTTTTGTCTAGTTAGATGACTGCAACACACCAGCTGAAATCTGCTGTGACATCAGTTGCATATGCTGGACGAGCTTTGTTTCTCACTTCTCTATCATCCTCTACTGTAAAACTGGATGACAATAGCAGTGAGGAGTCCTTTATTGATCTTTTGGTGGAGTCATTGTCTAATGCATTACTTGGCATGGATGCAAATGATCCTCCCAAAACTTTGGCAAGCATGCAATTGATTGGTTCCATTTTTTCCAATGTAAGCTCCAATTTCTAATTACTATAATCAAGCTTAGCTTATGTGACCTACAGTCTAACCAGAACTTGACATCTTTCTCTATTAATAGATGGCTACTTTGGAAGATCATAATGACGGGTTTTCATTTACTTCGAGGATCGGCATTTCTGAGTGGCTAGATGAGTTTTTAATTCGCCTTTTCTTGTTACTTCTACACTTGGAGCCAAGTAGTGTTTTGTAAGTAGTGGTTCTTCTGTGGCGTCCTTTCTGTTATCTACCATTATGTTCAGTTTGTTAGGCACATAGTTGGTACTCTTCCGATTTCACATTACTCGTTTGTTATTGGCTTGTCAGAAATGAAGGTCTTTATTCTTCAGCACCATCAGGTACTTTTCTGGTTGACGATGGTCCTACCTACTATTGCATGCTTGAAGTATTGATGGGGAGATTGTCGAAATCACTGTATAACCAGGTTCGGTCATCAGATTTATGCTTAATTTGTTTACAAGTGATTGGAAGTTTAGAGATATCACCTTGAACTTGTCCCTCCATTGTTTGACAGGCTCTTAAAAAGATCTCGAAGTTTGTCAAAACAAATATACTTCCTGGGGCAATTGCAGAGGTTGGAATGCTTTGTTGTGCATGTGTCCATGCTAACCCAGAAGAGGCAGCTGTTCACCTTGTGGAACCAATTTTATCATCTGTCATATCCTCCTTGAAAGGAGCTCCCAACACAGGTTATGGAGGAACTGGAACTTTTCATGCTTCCACAAACAAGGTTGTTGACCCCTTCTAACTGCTACCCTTGAGTTCCTGATCATGCTTCGCCCAAATTTCATCTTGAGTGCACCTTGTCCTTTTCTCCAGGAAAAGCCTACTCTTTCTCCAGCTCTTGAAGCAGCAATTGATTATCAGCTAAAAGTACTGTCTGTTGCCATAAACTATGGAGGATCTTCACTTCTATGTTACCAGGACCAATTCAAAGAAGCAATACTTTCTGCATTTGATTCACCATCTTGGAAGGTCCTATTCCTCAATTATGTGTTATGTAGAGATATGTCTAGTGATTGTAACAGTCAAGTGTTTAAGGCATATATACGAGCTTTTCCTATGCAATTAGTACTTGTGTATGACTTTCAGTGAAATGATAGGTTAATGGAGCGGGTGATCATGTATTACGATCTCTTCTTGGAAGCCTGATTTCATACTATCCGGTTGATGAGTACAAGTATGGTATCTCGATCCTGTGGGATATAGGCTTGATTTATTCCTTCTACTTTATCTGTCTAGGCAATTTCTGTTAGTTCTGAAGCATATTCTGGTTTCTAGGTGTACTTTGCTCCATCCTGATTCTGCTATGTTAGAGAAATGGATCAGCACAAAGGATTATCCTGGTGATGAAACATTGATGGCTCCAAAGTGGCATATTCCATCTGATGAAGAAGTTCAATTTGCAAATGAACTTTTGAATATTCATATTCAATCAGCTTTAGATGATCTTTTGAAGATATGCCAAACTAAGATGCATTCTGACCCAGGTGATAGTTTCTTTTGATTTTCAGTGCAAATCTTATACTTCTATAGGAGTAGAGAATTCCCAGCTTTGAAGAACTTCACTTGATTATAATCACGTTGAAATTAGAGAATATGACTTCAGGTCAACTCATCTTGATTTTGCCAAATCATTTGTCAATTCGTTGGCTAATGCTAATCGATAAAGCAATAGCAAATCTCCCTGCAGATTTGACTGGGGTACATACCCGCAGTTAATTACTTTCATTGGGTCTAATACACTTTCACTTTGCTGCCAGGGGATGAGAAAGGGCACTTAAAAGTGACTCTGTTGCGTATAGATTCGTCATTGCAAGGAGTTGCATCATGCTTGCCTGATTTCAGCCCATCCTCCAAAAATGGGATGGTCAAAGATCCAGGTCATTTGCCATTCTTGATAGCTGGAGCAACTGGTTCAACTGTCGGCAGCAGGGCGCTGCGTGAGAAAGCTGCGGGGGTCATGCATACAGTGTGCAAGTAATTTTTTAATTGCAGTTGGAAATAGGGAGTCTATGCTGATATCAACTATGCGTAACTTGCTCATAATTTAGGAACTCTTCTCCTTCTGCAGGTACTTACTGGAGAAGAAATCAGATGACAGCATTCTTCTGGTACTTGTGATACGTATAATGGATGCTTTAGGAAACTATGGTAAGAGAAGCTGAAAATAGAATTCTAAATCATACTGAGGCGGGATAGCTGCTCATAGACTCCCTCTGTTTGGTTTTCTTTCCAATGCTATAGCTTTTTGAGTATGTTCTATCCAGGGAGTATGGAGTATGAGGAGTGGTCAAATCATCGACAGGCTTGGAAATTGGAAACTGCTGCCATAATAGAACCTTCAGTGAATTTTATTGTGTCATCTCATTCTAAAGGGAAGAGAAGGTGAAATTTTCTTTCTTCCTATCCCAAATTACAATCACCTTTTTTTGACACGGAATTTTGAAGCCTTTTTTCTTTTATGTTTTTTCCTTTTGCTTCGAATTCTGATTCTATTAGTTTAATTCAGGCCAAGGTGGGCACATATTGACAAGGCATATCTGCACAGTACCTGGAGAACATCACAGTCGTCTTACCATCTGTTTCGCACAAGTGGAAGCTTTTCTCCATCAGATCATTTGCTCATATTGAGTGATGATCTTCTGGATCTTTCTCTGCATAGTTATGAAACTGTTCGAGCGTGAGTTGGCATTGCTTTTCAGCCTTGTTACATGATTGGGCTACATCTGTTCTGTGGTTATAATTAAGCTATTTCAACTTACTTTTGATAGACTGATGCAAATGCATACTATTCATTACTCATGAAGTTTTATTTGATTCATTTTGATGGAGTGGATCACCATCATTGCCCTTCATCGACAGACCACTTCCATTCCCTTTTGCTGAGGTGATCTGTATGAGTGGGCAAAAGGTGGTGTCATGACATAACTCATAGGCAAAGGCATATATCTCTCCAAAATTATTTTACTGATGTTGTTTTGGGAGTGGCAATGCAACAGTTATGCAAAACTATGCCGTAACTCTGGTGGTATCTGTTATGTATCTATCAAAAGATCGTCTGCATGAGCTCTTCAGATATTTAGATGTAGACACTGATGCCAATTAAGCCTGAAAGTCCTGTATTAATCTCTGCTTGTGTCGAGCATGGAGGAAATTTTGCCAAATTCTATTTTTTACTAGTTGAAAATCCTAAATCATTCAATTACTTATTCATGTATGTATTTTGTTTAGTTTAGAAACCTGGTGTTGGGGAACCAAGGGACAACAGGCATGTGGAGTTTAGACATTGTTGGTACTCTGCATAGATGCTAGGGAAACCACAGGACAACATGCTCATTTTATTACTAAGCATCCTTTAGTTTCTTCACGTGGACATTATTATTCTTAATTTTATTTTGTATGTTTTGGATCAATGCATGTTCTAATTTATGTCATTTAAACTGTGGTCTTCATCAGACTTGCTGGAAAGTCATTATTAAAGATGATAAAGAGATGGCCATCTATGATCTCGAAGTGCGTTCTTTCTCTAGCTGAGAACTTACAGAATCCCAGTGCACCGGAATATGCAGTTTTGGGTTCTTGTGCAATTCTTGCTTCGCAAACTGTTCTCAAGCATTTGACCATGGTAAGGAATTTGCAAAAAGAATTTAGAGCAGATTATGAAAGGTCAAATTGATGGCTCTAACTACCATTTTTCAGGACCCCAAGGCATGTTCTGCATTTCTTATTGGAGTTCTCTCAAGGTGAGCATTTCTCTTAATTTATGGGAGTATTTAACTTAATTTAAGTGTTCTTTGTTTGAAGATAGTATTGTAACATCATTACTTGATGCTCATCACTTATGTTCCTGTTTCCTCTTGAAGCTCCCATCATGAATCACTAAAAGCTCAGAAAGCGATCAATGAGGTAATTTGTTTCCCTTATCTTGTCTCTATCTAGTATCGGAGAAAATCTAAGCCCAGATTTTAACTTCTGCCAGCTTTTTGTCAAATACAATATCCACTTTGGGGGCTTGTCTAGAAACTTCTTCAAAACATCAGATGATCATGCAGATACGCCGGACTTCTCGCATTTGGTTTCGCAAATTAGTTCAATGGGTTTTGATTCAGTGGGCTTGCATTGGCGGTAAATGACTTATTCTCTCTGATGGTAGAGTTAGGTTTTCTTAGACTTTGCATTTGTTTGTCTAGCTGTCAACTATTGGCAGCTGTTTTTGCCTTGCCCTTTTTTCGTGAAATTAGATGTTAAATTAAGCATGATTGTGTTTATCAAAGTCATTTTATACTGGAGTTGGAAGAGATTACTGGGGAATGTGGTACATACTTTTCATGTACTTTTTGCAGGTACAATTTAATGGCTAATCGAGTTCTCCTGCTGTTGGCTATGGCATCTAGAAATGACCCGCATTTCTCTTCCAAGATTCTGAGTGAAACTGCTGGTCAGTGTACATTCTTTTGGTATTATCTTCCTGGCATTCTTTGTTTTCTGCTGCAGTTTTTTCTAGTTTGTTGTTTTGGCTAAAGAGCAACGTTTTTACTTTCCTACCAAAATTTAAAATATTACTCAAATCCTAGAAAACAGATGTGAAGTTACGTGTCAACATTAATGCATTTTGAAAGATTGTGGTGCTTAAGATAAATAAGAAAAAGTCAAAGTACGTGTGCCGCAAGATTTGAAAAAAGCAAACAGTAAACGGTTATAGCTACTCTAGGTACAAGTTCAAAATCTGAATTTCAGATTAGTCAATGTCAGTTTGCACTTACTGTTTAGTTGGCCAGAGCGCGCATGATTTTTACTGAATTGGATCAGTCAGGTTGAACATTAGTTGACATAAATGCCTTTTCAGGTCACTTTTTGAAGAACTTGAAAAGTCAACTTCCTCAGACCAGAATTCTAGCAATCTCGGCTCTAAATATACTACTGAAAGAATCGCCTTATAAATTATCAGATGATGAAGGTGCAGGAGTCCACAAGGAAATGCAAGGAAATACTACATCATCTCTTGAAGGAGCATTAACTCATATATTCCAGGAAGAGGGTTTTTTTCATGAAACATTCAGCAGTCTTTCTCATGTTCACATAATAACTGACACAGAAAGTGCATCTGGCGGAAAACAGGGAAATTCATCTTTGCAGAGTGTAGCAGACAAATCAATCACCCGTTTTTATTTTGACTTTTCATCATCATGGCCTCGGACCCCTAGTTGGATTTCCTTACTTGGAAGTAATACCTTCTACTCAAACTTTGCAAGGATATTTAAGCGGCTAGTACAAGAATGTGGCTTGCCTGTTTTATTAGCACTGAGGAGTAGCCTGGAGGAATTTGCAAATGCAAAAGAGAGGGCTAAGCAATGTGTTGCTGCTGAGGCATTGGCAGGGGTACTGCACTCTGATGTTGATGGCCTCGTTGAAGCATGGGACAGCTGGATGATGGTTCAGTTGCAGAATGTCATTTTGTCACAATCTGTTGAATCAGTACCTGAGTGGGCAGCTTGTATACGCTATGCAGTTACAGGAAAAGGAAAATTAGGAACAAGACATCCTGTCCTTAGAGAAAGAATTTTAGATTGTTTGGTTAAACCTTTGCCTCTAAACACGACAACTACGGTTGTTGCTAAGCGCTATGCATTCCTCGCTGCAGCTCTAATAGAGTTGTCCCCTCAGAAAATGCCAGTTTCGGAAGTACATCTTCACAGTTGCCTGTTGAAAGAATTGCTGGATAACATGTGCCATTCCTCTGCACAGGTAAGAGTGCTCTCGACTTTTTCCCAGCGGCATTTTCCTCTGTTGTCTTCAGTGTACAATGGTGAAAATAATGACACTCAAGCATAAGTATTCAACCTTAAGGTGAATCTACGTAGAATGCTGGCAAGATTGATGAACCATGCTGAGCTGTGAAACATATCTGCTTGGCAATTATTGGGGTTGTTTTATGCTTGTTCCTTCACAATGTGTAGATGCAGCTTCTTTCTCTTCTTGCAGCTGTTAATCTTGGTGCAAATAACATCAATATATGTGGATTTTAGCAAAACTATCTCTGAACTTCATCATTATACATGTTTCGTTTGTCTTGTTTCTTGAATGAGAATTTTAAAAACCTAACTGGTGTTTTAGGCAATCTTGTGCTTTACCACAGTATTTTCCTCCTGCAATGATTTTTGCAATGATTCTCTGGTCTGCTGCATTTTTCGTGTGGCAGGTAAGGGAATCTATAGGGGTCACCCTTTCAGTATTGTGCTCCAACTTTCAGCTGTACAGATCACTTTGTGAAGATCATTCACATGAAGGAGAAATCAGTGATGCACATGACCAAATTTGGGTCGAATCTCTCACTAAACAAGCATCTGAAATGGTCATACGGATTCAATCTTCTGGCCAGTCTGACGTCTTGGGGAGCTCTAGCACTACAAGTCATGAAAATGGTGGTTGTGGAAATAACTCGCAAGAGGATGTTAAGTGGATGGAAACGGTACTTCTCGAAAATAATTATACGATTTTCTGCTCGACTGAAATTTCTTTTTAACATGATTTTTTTTTGGTATGCAGTTATTCCACTTCATAATATCATCTTTGAGGTCTGGAAGATCTTCTTATTTGCTTGATGTACTGGTGGGGTTTCTTCATCCTGTAATTTCCTTGCAGGTAAAGTCTATGCAAATATAAACTTCGTGTAACAATTCATTCCACTTTCTTATCTTTTTGGCCTGATTGTGCCTGCACTTTTCAATTAAGAGCTGGTTGGTTAATTGATGATCAGCTTCAGCCTTTTGGCATTGTGTTTATACCCTATGCTTATTTGGAGCATCTGCTCATTTGATGCTTAGAGCTACGTTATATGACTTCTTTAGGAAACATCACATAAAGATCTGTCAGCATTGGCAAAGGCAGCTTTTGAATTGTGGAAATGGAGGATTTTCTGGAAGCCCAATCTGCAGAAGGTGGTGCATGTAATTCTTTCTTCAGTCAATGATCCTAACTGGCGGACAAGATCTGCTACTTTAACGTATCTGAGAACGTTCATGTACAGGTATTGCATTTTATAATAGGCTCTTATGCATTGGTGGCAATTGAAATTAATTATTCTAATGAGTCATCTACGTATTAGTAAATTACATTGTTGTGCAGATTGTGTTCATTTTTTGTTTGTTTTTGTGTGGAGGCTTGGTGATATTGTCTTGGTTGTCTTATCTTTATATGGTGCCTTAGGGGAGAATATGTAATGCAAATGATAAGACATGTAGTACACTGTTTTCTTAAACCAATGTTTGTACTCATGAATTGTTCTCGTGCTAGGCACACTTTTATTCTCTCTTTTACAGAGAAAAAGCAAATCTGGGAAACAGTGGGGCGACTACTCGTAGACAACCAAGTTGAGGTAAGTTTCTTGATTTATGTTTTGCTAGTTATTGATGTCTAGTAGTTTTTAGTTGGTAATAATGGAAAGCTCTCATGTAAGTTCTCCTTCTGTTGCAACATAAAACTGAATCCATTGGTGACATTGATCTTGTGAAATGATAGTAATTTTCTGGACAATCTGCCCAAGCAGTATTGTAGCAATTTTTTTTTTTGGCCACAAACCAGTACGGTAGCATGAAGTGATGCCACCGTGAATTTTGGTCATAGTGTTTTTCTTTGATTTTTGGGCATCCATGAATCTAATCTGGACAGTTTTTCTAAAATGATGTTATTATCCTAAAAAAATCCATGTGGTGCAGGTAAGAGAGCATGCTGCTGCAGTGTTAGCAGGCTTGATGAAGGGAGGGGATGACAATTTAGCTAGTGAATTCCGTACTCGTGCTCTTGCAGAGGCAAATGATACGTTGAAAAAGAAAAGGAGAAGGTTATTGTTTTCTGAGCCATTGACTTTAAGTTAGCTGATTTCTATTGTGATACTTTTTGCGATCATTTCTTTGTCTTTGTGCCAGTTAAATAGTAACTTTCATAGGACACCTTTTCCATGTCTTTCTGCCAATCATACGTTAACTAAATATGATACCTTGTACCAGAAAGAACAATTTCTATTGCTGCGGGTAGCTTTGCATTTTTTGTCACTGTAGACTGTATCTCATAAGGTATATCTTGAGAAGTTTATAATTCTTATTGAAGGTAAGACGTTTCTGGATCTCGCTAGCATCAATATAACCTTGGCGGTCCTAACAGATCTATAACGTGTTTACTGAATGATCAATCAGCTTAAGTGCACTATGCACTTGGCTCCAACTATGCATTTTCTTTTCTGTGATCACCACAGTGAGAAAAAAATTCTTTTGATATACTCTATAAAGGCATGTTTTCCTTTTTCATCAGTTCACTAAGTTCATCATCCGTGGTGAGGGTTGGATCTAGAAATTTTCTTAGTTTGGGCCATCACTGTTTTAACTTATGGTGTATTTGTTTTCATGAAAATGATTTCCATGAAAAGGTTTTATGAGCACCGAGAGCTTAAGTTTTTTAATTATTTGCATTTTCTATTAGTTTGGCATCTTTTTTCAGGTTATTTTATTGGATAATAAAAAAGATTACAATTGATACTTTACATAAGAATAATATCTCAGACAAGGATTTGGATATCATCTTAATATCTCATATTAGGTACAAAACATAATTATAATGGAGTGAATAATTTTTAAAAGTAAGATCTAAACTTTGAAAAGTTTTTTTCGTACACCAACAAACAACTGAAAACTAATCATTTCCTCAAAAAAAATTTCACGGAAAATTTTTTCCTCCTTTAAGAAGTTTTTCTTGAAACTAACACCCCTAAGAGTAAATCAAACTTGATCAAATTCTCATCTCTTGTTTTTTTAATATTACGATGCTAAAATGTTAGATAAGCAGAATACTAAAGTACGTTCTGTTTGCGTGCTGCAACTGGAAGCTCGTAATTGTGTAACTGTCTATTAAGTCCTCTTTGTTGATGTTAACCGCAATGAAATGATGGATATCGGATAATGACTTAGACAACATATTTTCTTCAGAAAAAAAATGGGTCATTTGTTAAAAAGAAACTCTGAAAAAAATGAAACTTCACAATCAGTTCCTTAAAAATCAGTTGGGGCTATTGCCCCCACCTTTTGATTTGTAGATTGTTCTTATCTTGGGTGTATACGGTCACAAGGTTCTATTAAACTTTAGATGTTGGACGAATCTATGGTTTCCCTTTTGTTGTTCAGGATATGTTTGTATCTGTTTGTTTATGTTTTGCTTTTGATTGCTTAAGAAGAAGACGAGAAAAAAACAAAATCCTTTTCAAGTTTCAAATATATTGATTCTCGGTTACATGTTTTGTGCATTTCATATCTGATGTGTTTCTGCCTCTCTTCTCCTAATCAGAAATATAAGCTCTGGTCAATCTATCGCTTCGGTGCATGGCGCCGTACTTGCTCTGGCTGCTTCTGTGTTATCAGTCCCTTATGATATGCCGAGGTGGGTTTCCCTTAGATCGAGAAGCTCTCTTTTTCTCTTCTTCGATTTTATCCAAATCTGTTTTATACACTGTCGGGACAGTAATGAGATGGCCTGATGAGCCGTGACTTGCTATATCTAGGACTTGTTTTTAGTGCGCGTAGTGCCTAGATGACATATCCTTCATTGACCAACTTCCACTTTCTTTTCAGGAGATGATTTAGTGTCAAATAAGGCTATACATATTGCTGTTTTCCTTGAAATGCTACCCTGAATTTTAAACATTTTTAGTTTATCTAAGAGTCCAGCAGCTACTCAACTTTCTCCTGAACTCTTGAATTCTATTTCAGTACTCAATCTTTATGAATTGCTACAGATCTTTTTGCAAGAATCTTTATGGATCTGAAACAGGGAATAGTAAATTTTAGCCTGCTTGTCGTTTTGGGATATTTACATTTGCTGTTTGGTGACAGCTACATTTCCCATTTTCATGACAAATATAATAAGAGTAAATTTCCTGACAGAAACGTCTTGCTTGCTTGCACTAATATGTAAATTGTCAGACATGATTGGGGCTGATTTTGAAATTGTTATTAACTGGACATTTCCATGTTGAGTATCTCTTTTTTTGGGGCCAGATTTCCATGTTGAGTTAAACCCTGTGACTGTGATATCATCGTAATAATGCCGTTTCCCTTCTGTATTTGTGACTTTCGTGTTGCTAACTCTTTAAGTGAAGGGACAACATCGAATTTAAGCTGGATATCTTGATTACCCGATCTTTCATTGGCATATTTTCTCTGAGGTGATTCTACCTCTTGACAACTCTTTTGTCTTCTTTGGTTACTCTGTAGTTGGCTACCTGAGCATGTTACGTTACTGTCGCGATTTGCCTGGGAGCCATCTCCCGTGAAATCCACCGTGACAAAAGCAGTTGCGGAGTTTAGACGGACTCATGCAGACACATGGACTCTTCAGAAAAAGTCGTTCACCGAGGAGCAACTTGAGGTGGATCCGCTATAAATTTTAATTTTCCTCTTCTCAGACTCTCTTTCATAAATGAAGTCGCGTGCTCAAATTTCGTGCGTTTCACCTTCACTTGCAGGTCCTGGCCGACACTTCCTCCTCGTCGTCCTATTTTGCTTGATCGACATTACTTTTCCGTTGGCAAATGGACGGTACACAAAAACAACAGGATGAAGTATAACAGCATAGAAGCTCAGCCTCATTTATATAGGTTTGCTTATAGATGTCTTGTAATAATCTGCAACGTGCACTCAGTTTTTCTTACTCCCTATTGTAATAGTTCATTACTGCCTTTGAGCGTAGGTGGCTTTTAACTTCCTCTCCTGTCTTCTTGTTTAAACTCTATACTATACCATTGCATCCATTGGATCATCAAATTCAGATGGTAAAATGCCCGTGTACATGCATCTAGACTTAAAAGTTGATCGATGCGCATCTGTCTTGGCGCGCCCCTCCTGCTCTCTGCCTCCTCTGGCTTATGGGAGGGCCGCCCGTCGCGCCATGTGTATATGAATGTTTCGGTTGTGACCATCGAATTACTACGACTGCTCGATTAAGCCGAGTTTCGATAGAAATTTCGATGCGAATGGAGATTGCTGTTCGGTTTGTGCTTTTGTCAGCAAAGGAAAAGGGTCTTGGGTGCTTTCGGAAGAGCAGCTCTCCAAGGGCCGAGACAATCTTCTGAACACTGGCGACGAAACAAAAGTTTTGCTGGGAAATCGGACTTAACGCAGTCGGCACACTTAGCAGCGTAATGTGCAGGAAAATATGAAAATGATGGAACTCGAAACTATCTTGCGAACCGGCAGAAAAGGTGAATGAACGTTCGTCAAAATGAATCCACCAACAACCAATAGAAGATGAGCAAAAATGTAGTTCTTCACGGGACGGAGGTAACATCATATCTACTTATGCCCTAACTTTGCGCTAACTAGATTTTCAACAGACCCGATTAATCCCACGACTGTCACCAGAAAACAGATGGAGCTGAATATCCTGAGGACGATCCATTTCCGTGTCCAAGGCCCGATGTTCTTCTGCTGGAAGTACATTTCCACCGGAAAGTATATTGCCAGGGGCCAGAAGTTCAACGCCCCCAGCACTCCCAGGACCGAGTTGAAGTAAGGGAAGACGAGGGCGATCCCGACCGTCGATATCACGTACGCCGAACGGAAGCACAGCCTGAAGAGATTCAACTGAAAAGCCGGCAACAACGGGATCTCTATTCTGTAAAACCTGTTCACAAAGTCACTGGCCAGGAACCTGTTCCTGAACCATTTCTCCAACGTCGCAAAGACTGGCTGGCTGTATAGCTGCAAAAATCATTCTCATCGAAAGAAAAGTAAGCAATACCCAAATAACATATACGAGGACTTTGGCGGTTTTTGATTTTTCGGAAAGCCGTTTGAGGTTGCGAGTCCAGTACAATACCTGGTAGCCTCCCAAGAGGTGGAGGATAACGCAAGCGTTGGCGAAATTGATGAGGGCATGCGGGTGGAACGACTCGAAACCCGTCAAGAGACTGCCCGGCGTGACGTCGCCAAAGGCCGCGTATCCGAAACAACCGCAGCATAGGTAGAAGAAGGTGGTGATTACAATCGCTATCACCGAGGCCTTCTTCATCGTCTTGTTCTCTGCTGGGGGAGACTTCAGAGTGTCCTTTTCATTCAGCAAGGCAAAATTAGGTATATTCCCTCAGCCTGTTATAGCACTTTAATGGTGAAAATGGCACAATTGAGAAAAGTGATGACGGGTACCTGTATCTCCAGAAGAACAAGCGAGTACGGGTATGCGAAAGCAATGTCGCCCATTGCTTGAAACGCAAGCCACGTCTTCTTGGCAGGATCGGCAGCTGGGACTCCGCCGGTGCTTCCTAGGATTTTCCCATTTTCTGAAGCCACGCGACACAAGTTAGAAACGCAAAACAGCTCATGATCTAACAGTTCCTCCTTTAATATGCTTATTCTCTAGATAGAACAAAACTACAAGAGTACGGACATTTAACAGCTTTTCTTTTGTATTGGATTAGAAACAAGAATCCTCAAAACAGACTGAGCGCAAAGGAAGTGAGGAACAAATGTAAGATTGCTTTGCGAGTAGAGAGGTTAAACTCCGCCGCATCTGAGGAATTATCAAAGTGAATTTCCGGGACAGTACCTACTACTTTCGCGACGCCTAGCCCAAATCCTATGAAAGAGTAGCAGAAGGACATCATCGCAGCAAGAACCGAGAGCCAGACTATGCTATGAAAGTCACGTATCTGCGACATCATGATTTGAGTAACTCCAAATATCAGCATATAAACCTCCTGTCCGTACTCGCACGATCCCTCTTGCTCATCTTTGTGATGACATGCTGACTTATGAATCGACCTACAGATTACGACCGGACAGCATAATTTTGCAAGTCAAAATAGACTGAAAACACATTTAATTGCATCGAACCGATGATCTCGGATAGATGTTTACCTCAGACTGGTAGCTGTAGTTATCACATAAGCTATACCCGTGCCGTACATGCTCAGATACTGAAGGAAACCACAAAACCACATCTGTGTTGTACCTGAAGTGTGAAAGCCACATGTGGACAATTTAGAATGCGCACGAGGGAATTACCATGATCTTCTCAGGATAAGGAAAGTTTCATTGTAGTACCTAGATTAACTCTAACAGCATCCCCGTAAGAGTAATTGCGTGTGCCGGTAACGGGGTCCAGGGACCTGTAACAGTCGGACAGCAGGGAAGTGGAAACATAGGTGACAGCCGCTAAACAAAGCAAATAAACTGGCCCTGCTATCCATCCCAGTTGCGCGATACTCCACGCTAAGGACAGCACTCCTGATCCGATGACGGCAGTGAGGATATGAGCGATGCAGCTACTTATGGTCCCTGCATTTGAGTATTTCGGTATAAGGAAGTTGAAACTGAGGAATCACAAAGGTTCACTCAGTTTGGCGAAATCATTATTCCTTGAAATATCTCACCTGTCCTCTTCGGGTGCCCGTCATCATCGCACAAGCCCTCAGGAAGTATGGAACTTTCTTTGGCAGCCATTGTTCATCCAAATCGACGATAAAATTGATACTTGATCATCTGCATGCAATTGATGAGTTTAACTACCGTGTCGCGTATGTATATCATATGCACCTGAGGCCTATGTATCAAAAGACACGAGACAAGACACTCGATGCTCCTTCACATGCAGCGAAATTCTATGTGATCACTTCCAACATGATAAGATTATAAGCTTTCAAAGAGTTAGCTCGGGTCCTATGCTCAAAATGGTCTTTGAGAGGTATGAATTTTCCAGATCCCTCCGTTGTTTCCCCACTGAAATAAACTATCATGCCTGAGTAGGATTCGAGATTTGATATTTTTGGATATTTATGAAAAAAATATGATAGGATCACTATAATCCTACCCCTTCTTGATGATTCTATTTCCTTACAAATTTAGCAGATTTCTTAGCCTGGAAATCCGTATGTTTTGATGGCTTGGTTCATACAGAAAGAATTTGCTTAGAAGATAGAGACCTTTTCAAGTAATTTGAGATTTCACTCTTGCCAAAAGAATGGTCATTCATTATCACCTAATGAGTAATCATTGCACTTTCCATACACTTTTCAGAATCTGTGGGAGTTACAGATCCCTGACCAACACAAACTAAGAACTCGCAACCAAACTGTGACAATTCTTGCTGAGAAACTAGAGCACCACGTGGGTATGAGACACGACATGACACGACACGACACAAGTAATTCGAAACTGGTAGAAATCGACACATTTTCGCTCTTGCCTGAAAAGAAGGACAACGCTGCAATAGCATTGAAACGTCACGGTAGTGACTCGGCTACGAGTCTTGAAAAGCGTGTTAAACAACCTGCCCTACGCGACTCGGAAAGGTTTTTCATCAGTCACCCCTCGTCGCCGATGTAAAGAACGAACCCGGATCGTACCTTACTGATCTTGCTGATCAAAGAGCCTGAAGAAGGTTGGACTGCTGGAAACATAAATCTGCCAACCACTAGGAAAGCACCTGAATAAGGCCTCATAAATCCCCAGAGCCCACAAATTCCAGTATTTGCCTCCTCAAGAACAATTGCAGGATCTGCAACAAATTGAATCCAAAACTCAACCGAATTCCAATGCTTTTCCCTCGTCAGGAAAAATTGCTTTGAACGCAAGAAATCGCAGTGCAAGCAAACCCAAGTGTCAGATCCCACGGATCTTCATAATCTCATAAGAAAGAGGCTTTCACCTGTTGAAACGTTCTTGAATCTTCTCGTTCTTTGCGCTTCTGGAAGCAAATAAACTCTTCAGTGAAATTTGACAGGGAAAGAGAGACGTCGGGGAGGTTATTGAAGCCAAGTAACTGTTAGGCCATGGCAACCAAATCAAACGCACATATTTATGGGCAGTTAATTGTTTGTTTGACAAATTTCATATGGATTACGCCCAATCTTACAGACGAGATAGGGACTTTCACGATCTTTTTCGTGAACAAAGAATCCTGAAACATCGGTTCCTCAAGGCTTGAAAATAAAAGATCATAAATTTGATACGCAGCCTTCTTTTTTTTCTCCAAGCACAAGATTCGGATCATTCTCTCGAAGAAACACATGTCAGTCACTTCAGTGCCACGATCGAAAAAAAAGGATCACATTAGTGTCATCGCCGATTTGGGTTGCCGGAAAATCCAACGTTGCAATAATTTAATGCTTTACCGACCGATGTGGCTCACTGACAAGGTGAGCCAGCATGAATTATCCTTAAAGGACAGCGGCTATGTGTATTATTTGCCCCAATTAGCAAATTGGGGTTATATACTGTCTCTGCTTCAAATCCTAATGTCAATTTGTTCTTCAATTGAGAAATTAGATTAAAATTAGGAGCTGAAATTTGTAATGGAGAGCAAGCGCCGAACCAACATGGCCAAATTAAGCATGTTCCCATAATGAATTGGACAAACAAGAGTTGCAAAGGAGAGAGGGAGCAACATAGCTATCCGAAGGAGTCGATTGTTGCAACTGGGTTTCTCTGGACGAAGATGAAAACACAGACGAAGAAGATGAAGATAGGAAATCAAGGAGAAAAGAAGATAAATTTGTGAGTTAATTGGTTAACTTCTTCAAACCCTAACCCTACGACCGAATCCTCCGTTTCTCTCTCTTTTTCTTCGGTGGTTGGGCTATGATTCCTCAATCTTCTGATTCTCTCTAGTCAAGCTTCCAAGAGATGACTCAAGAATGAGGATTTCATTTTCAAGAAAGGTTTAAACGACCTCGTTTTGGCCCTTTTTTGACACGTCAGTCGAAGATTGTCCATGTTGGACTTGAATGTCTTTTATAAAAAGCCATGTCGGAGTCAAAATGTAATTCAAAAAGTTGTGTAAGATGAATCGCCGGAATAAATACTTAAGAGATCGATTTTTTACCGATATGACATTGAAGTGATCACTCGAAAGGTTTTGACACTAAAATGAGCGACGTATGAAAAATATAGTACTTCTAGTGTCCATTTCCGCATATCATAAATTTGATGTGGCCTTCTTTTTTTTCTCCGAGCACAAGATTCGGGTCATTCTCTAGAGCAAGCCCATGTCAGTTGCAGAAACTCAAGGATCTACATCAGAAAACGGCCATGCACGCGGCTAAAGCTGTTGTCCATGTAAATTACAACGTTGTTATTGTCTATATGTAGCTAGCTCATGCTGCATTTTCTGAAAAAATATTAAATTAAATTTCAGTTGACGTGGCAGAAACTCAGGATGCGTTCATTTCGCCTAAAATGAGTAATTCAGAAAATATTTTCCGAAAAATGATTACTTAAATTGTTTAGAAAAATTAGTCAACGTAAAATGTTTTTATCATCGATTACAATTTATACCTAACTATTTTCGTGGGTAATGAAAATTTTTTCCATTCATTTATTTTTGTAAGCAATATAAGCGATTATTTATCGGAAAATATTTTTCAAATCACTCATTTTTCACGAAACGAACGTACCCTTAGATTGCATAGTTTGGACCTTGGTGCGAGCAGATTTTTATTTTCTATATTCGAATTATCATCACTTGGATATGGGATTTTTCTTTCGGAACATATAGAAACAGATGAAGTGATGTTGGAAAAAATCAGAGCATTGTTCCCTTACCATGGCCCATTTCTTGCTGAAATCTAATCTATGTCACGTAAATGATTTCTTCTAGGCAGATACCCTCTTAATTTCTAGTTAAAATTTAGTCACCGTCCGATGCATCCGACACCGGAAAAAAAAAAGAAGAAATCTCAACTTGGAAAATTATCAAACCTATTTGAATCCCAGGAAGTACATTAAACCCTTTTAAGATCATGATTATCTTTAAATATTTCTTTTCCATTTTAGCAAATATTATGATAAGAATAACTTCAATTATTATCTCTAAATAGAACAAGATAAAAAGAACTCAGGAGCAGCCAAACATTGTTTTCTTCTCACTCCCACTTTTAATAAAAGAATAATATACAATGAGCAACTTCCAAAACTTTATCACATGACATAACCCAAAAGTATAATTAAAAATAGAGGAAAGATTAAAAAAGATTATAAGAGAAATCTCTCACCAATAAAGAAGTGCCTCTTTTAACTATGTTCTACTTGTCCATCATATGCAACCGCATTTACGTTATTTTCTCTGCTAACCTTGCACCAACCAGTTCTTCAAGCGACCCAATGAATCCCACAACTGTGACCAACAGACAAAGACAGCTATATGCCCTATAGCAAATCCATTCCCTTGACCATGCCCTAATCTTCTTTTGCTTCAAGTACATTTCCACAGGGAAATATACTGCCAGAGGCCAAAAGTTCAATGCCCCCAGCACTCCCAGCACCGAATTGAAGTAAGGGAAGGACATTGCGAGCGCGGTTGTAGATACTACATATGTTGTCCGGAACACCACTCGGAAAGGGTTCAATTGGAATGCGCGGCACAAGGGAATCTTGAATGAGATGGAATTGTTCAGAAATCCACTGTCAGGGAATCTATATGTGAACCATCTCTCTGCTGTCGCGAACACGGGCTGACTATAGATCTGATGAACGAAAAAGAAGCTCCATGAAAGCAATGTTATCATATGTGGTCGACCGTCTTGTGACCTTTATTTGTGAGAAAAATCCGTGGCGTGGTAGAGAGCTGAAGCAACAAAAAGCAACTACAGCTTGCAATTATCTAATTAAGACAACCAGTATTTTGCTATAGGAAAGTGCGGAAGCTATCATTTACAACATGAATATATTCATAGAAAAGGCAGTGTGTCAACTCAGACATGCACGAAAATATTTGTGTCCTTGAGCTAGTGAAAAGTTTTTCGGCACAGGACTAATGTAAATGCAATAGCACGATACTTACAGGTTAACAAAAGCATTAGGGAGATAAAAGAGTAATTGTACATCTTTCTATAGTACCTGATACGCTCCCACCAAATGAAGCACAATGCAAGCATTAGCGAGGTCGACAAGCCAGTATGGCTCGTAGAATCCAAATCCTGTAAGTAGATTGCCTGGTGTACTATCACCGAATGCTGCGTATCCAAAGCATCCACAGCAGAGGTAAAAGAAGGTGGTGATGACAATTGCTTTCAAAGAGGCCGCCTTCATCGTCTGGTTTTCTGGGGGAGGAGACTTCAAGGTGTCCTGCATTTGACCGACCAAATTTCAAATGTCTATACTGGTCGCCGGAGCTGGTAAAACACCACTCAAAAGCCAATCCTGTAAAGTTTCGATAGAGTCTACCTGTATCTCAAGAACAATTAAGGTATAAGGATAGGCAAAAGCAACGTCAGCAAGTGCTTCAAAGGCTAACCATAACTTATTGAGATTACTAGAAGCTGGAACTCCCGTGATAGATCCCTTAATGGTTCCATTTTCTGCAGCAACGAAAGCAAGTCAATCCGAACTTTTCACACATTCTAGCAACAAGCTAAAAGCTTGAAGCCTTTCTAGTTGAGGACACGTTTCCTTTTTTCTGATAATCTCATTTGGGTTCTCTCATGATTATACCTAGTACTTTTAGAAAGCCGAGTCCGGACCCGATAAAAGCGTAGGAGAAGGACATGGCAGCCGCGATAATTGAGAGCCATCCGATACTATGGAAATCTGGAATCTGTGACAATAGTATCTCAACTACACCAAATAGGAGCATATAGAAACTATCCTCATACTGGCATGGAGCATTGTACCCTCCTTGATGATAACAATTCGATCTTAGGATTGCCCTACATCAATAAAAGATCCTCCTCAACCTAGAATCAACCAGTTTCCAGAGTCATATTAAATAGGTTACAGAAGACATGTTAATGCAGGAATATGCAACTAATGGTGCTCTTTAACAATTGTCTGGGAGTCAGGTATGCATGAGGCCCATTAAAGACATTACATCATCTGTTATATGTCATCCCGGTGAAACTTTACTCTTCTAACAAGTCTACAAAGGTGAAGGAAAGGCTACTACAAATTAACAACAGAGAGTTCTAGTTCTACCCTAACTCATCAGAGGACCATTTTAGTGTTTGACATAAGCTAGCCTACAAAAGTATCAAAGAAATTCCGTGAAGAATGGTATTCTTCTGTTTCTGTTTCCTCCTTTTTACCCCCTAGAAAATCATGAAATTTTAAACAGAGCTTAGTCATTGAGTCTGAATTTAGAGTTTCAAAGATAAATGCTAGCACATATCAGAAAAGGAAAGACAGGAGAAGCATTGAAAAGGGTTTGGAGATTCATAGTATGAGCAGTTCACCTCACACTGGCTGCAGCTGTTATGGTATAAGCAATCCCGGTCCCATATAAGCCTTCATGTGCGAATACTCCGCAAATGTGTTGCTGCTTCTCTCCTGAAATATTACCGCCTCTGTCATAGTCGTCTCTCGCTAAAGCAATGCGATGTTTCTTTTCGGATCATAGTCAAGCATCAAAGTGTGAAAGTTCGAGACAGCTTACCATTTTTTTCTCCTTAACCCTGCCTATTTTTTCATATGAATTATGAATATCTTGCATGATTCATCATGTGCAAAACAGAGCCTGAAACTCCATCCCTAGGTTACAATCGTCGTTATGCAAAGAGGCAAGAGCCTCAGACCTTTTGTTGATGCTGCTAATTTATAAGAGAAACATACTCCATGCATAGATTGTTCTTAAGAGCAGCCCATCATAGACATATTCTATGTCCTCTAGGCTACATAGCATACAGCTAGAATTGTCTGCCTATGTACGATGACTTACAGATTCTGTTACTATTCACAATAGGGCAATGATTCACTGTTGCATCTTGTTAACCTATCAATGATTCACTTGGGGAAATTGCTAGTACCAAAGTAGAACTTGACAGCTTCCATGAAAGATCGGTTTCTGGTGGTTCCATATTCTGGATCAGGGTACCGGTAGCAGTCGCAAAGAACAAAGGTAGAGATAACAGCAATTCCTGCGAAGCATATCATGCACACAGGACCGAGAATCCACCCTAGTTGAGCTACACTCCATGCAAGAGAAAGCACTCCAGCTCCAATCACTCCCGCTATAATATGCGCCACTGCGGTCAATTGTGTCCCTTCATATGGAAATAACTTTTAGGCATTTAAGTAGTGACATCATAAAGCACAATTGCAGGCAATTTCCTTTTTAGTAAAACCCCTCCGTTTGATTTCGTTGCAAGTTCTCTACAACCGCTAAAAAGTACTTGAAAACTCAACCAGTAAGCACCAAGCAGAATATTTATTTGTACCATTTGAATGAGTATTTGGCTAGCATGAGCTCCTAGTTCCAGATATTCAGGACAGTACTACGAGAACCATGATCGATGAAAGTCAGATATGTACATATATAAATTGCAACTGCGTGGCAATTAAACATGCAATATATTAAGTTTGGGGTCAACCCTCGAAAGGCCTGTTGTCCATCAGACTAAAGTCTATAAGTTCCAAATCTGAAGTTTACCAACAGCAAGAGAAGTTGTTCTGGCTCTGAGAAAAAAAAAAATTTCACCCTTTGATCAACCACAGAACAAGGATCATAACAGGAAACAGGCTCCAGAAACTTTTGCTTCTTCATTTTACTCTAATCACAAGAAATCCAGAGTCTGAACAGACAAAGAACCTGCTTCCTCTCGATGCATGAAAGCAATTAAAAAAAGACAAGACATGAAACAGGACATGATTGTGGTGCAGGACAATCCCCCAAGTCTTCTCGAGACAAGTTTCAAGAAAAGCTTTCAGATTTTCCAAGAAAGTCTCAACTAATGAGGAGGTGATGATGGGGTGGTGTTTGATTTTTACCAGTTCTTTTGGGAGGCTCTTGTGATGCCCCAGCTGAAGAAATGCTTTTGAGCATTGGTGACTGTTGATCATCTTCTTCACCCATCTCTCTCTCTCTCTCTCCAACTAAAAATACGAAAAAGGAAAGAAAAAAGCACTGATTTTGCGTTACAATCTATACAAAAGATAGTTAAAACGGAGAAGTAAAGCCCTCTCTTTCTTTCTTGCTTTCTTCTAACATCAGACAAGTGGACCTGACTCACAATTCACCTGCACATTCTTCACAATTCAGTCATGAGTGCTTTGTGCTCCCACCAGAGATACTGCTGCTGTATAGGGACATAAACAATAAAATAAAAAAAGAACTTTTTTTTATAAAAACACTTGTAAGTTTTGTTTTTTCTTTTAATCGAGGTACTTGTAAGTTTTCTTTTTGGTCACAAGTACGTGTAAGTATGAATCTTGCATTTTAGCAACCTTACATGCAAGATAAATCCCAAAATTGAAATGCAAGTGTATCATGATAACTTTTTCTCTCTCTCTCTCTCTCTTTTTTTTTTGCAATGGTAGAAATTTGGGAGAGAAGAGCCACGGACGGAAAGAGGAGCATAAATAATAGATATCGGCTAAATTTCCATCTAAGATTAATAAATTTATATTATGAATGATCTTTTAATAAGACATCCAAAAATAGATAATAATAGATACGTAAAGAATTCGCTTTATATCGCTTTTGTCTGAAAATTGTGGATGTTTGCGTCAATTTATCGTTAAAACGTGCTTATTGTCCTTGTTAGCGAGATGAGGATATGCATTGAGGGTTTTGTGTTTTAATCTTTTGAATAAAGTCATTCTAATATGTAAGACATCTTATTGGTTTAGATTGATAATTTAAATAACCGGCGTTGCTAATAACCCACTTTTCATGAAAAAAATCAAGCCTTTTTGCATTATAAGTTTGGAAATACATGGATGACTTTATAGATATTATGGTTAATATAAGATCAACCGATGCACTTTTGACAAGATACAATTACTTTAGAATTTGCTTGGTCAATTTGACGCTAAAAAAATTAGTAATGCATGAGCACGAAAGGAAACTTAAATTAAGAATATTTTTCATGAGTACAGTTAATGTGAAATATGCTAATTCTATATCAAGATCAAGTTGTATTCTCATGTAATGTATTATAAATCTATTTTGTCCTCACAAAAGAACTTCGTAGCATGGGGCAGACATTTTTACGAGTTTCCACACTTAATTATGACCGCATGTCATAATGTTAAATTATGAAATTCACTTTGTTTGACCTTTTATCCTCGTGCGATACATAATTTTTTTGTGTTGGGTCAAATGTCAAATCTCTTGATGTGCTGGAGGTTTTCCTAATAACAATCTAACCAAGAGTAGCACCTCGAAAACTACGACAGGGAAATCTCTTTTTGATTGTATCAATGTAGTACGAGCAACTTACAAAAGTCCTCATTACATCTCCAAAAAGAATAAAAAGGGGATAAAATAAGAAAGAAAAATAGGAAGAAACGAGGCTGGAGGACTACAAGGCTGAAGTGTAGTTTCTCGGCTGAGTTCGTCAATTACGAGTTCTCCAACTGACCCAGCGAATCCCACTATGGTGATCAACAGACGAAAACAGCTCAATGAACTATAGAAAATCCACTCCCTCGACCATGCCCTGATGTTCTTTTGCTTGGAAGTACATCTCCACGGGGAAGTATATTCCCACGGGCCAAGAGTTGAGCGCCCCCAGCACTCCCAGGACCGAGTTGAAGTAAGGGAAGAGCATCGCGAGCATGGTGGTGGATGCCACATACGCCGTCCTGAAGACCGGCCTGCAGAGGTTCAGCTGGAACGCCGGCAACAGGGGGAGCTTGCAGGAGCAGTAATGGTTCACGAACCTGCTGCTGGGGAATTTGTACGCGAACCATCTCTCTGCCGTCGCGAAGGCGGGCTGGCTGAAGATCTGATCAAGAAAAGTGCTGCGGAAATGACGGTTTATTATACATGCAAGAACGTGATGCTAATAGGTGAATTGGACATGAACATTAGTTACCCATAGGGGTGTGCACACGAACTAGGAACAGCCTGGAATCGGACTGGACCGGTCCAAAACCGGTGGTTCCTAGGTCCAGTTGTAGCTGTAGAACCGTCAACTCGCCTATTCGGACTGGACTAATAATATTTTGTATTCTCATTTTTTGTATTTTGTCATCAAGAGCATACCATTTTGCATCAAACTCGGTTGTGATGATGTCAAATATGGGAATTGAGATGAGCACAAGACAATGATTGACTGAGGATCAATCAAAATTCGAGCGATGCACGAACTTGGACAAACAGTAGGTGGCTGGAGATTTGATTGCATTCGATTATCTACAAAAGTTGGAAAAAGTGCAACAAATATGGTCGAAAGAAAATAATCGTGAATGGGCTGGTGAGTTATTTGAATGGAGAGAATTTCAACGGATGGATTTGGGAACAACTTTGATAGGAAAGATTGATGGCAAGCGTTAATCGGTCAACACTTAAAAAAGGAAAGAAAGAATTTTTCTTTCCAACTTGCAAGGACAAAATTGCAATTGATTCAGCAATGGAAGGGGGATTTGGATGGACAAAAACCAAGATGAAAAGATCGTATTGAATAGTACGGCTTGGGTGATCTTCTCATCCTCAATCCCGGTTCCAATTCCTCTTCGAACCATCGGGAGAGGGAAGGCAATGAAAGCCGGTATTGTTGGACTTGCGTCGTCGAGATTAGGAACGTCGGAAAGAACTGGGCTGATGCCGCCAAAGCCACAATAACGCTGGGAAACTGCAAAGTGTTAGTCAATGATACTAACAAGGCTAATAATACTGATGGAGGTTCATTGCTGCAGGAAATGTCATGGTGGAGCATTATAAGTTGTTGGGTTTGCTGTAGGTGACTCGGCCAGGTAGGGACGTTGTGGCCGGGTATCGTTTGAAACTCGGTGGGATCGGTTCCATGAAGTCAACGGACGATTTTCAGTTTCAATTTTTGGGAACCGGTCCTTAGTGGGCGGCTCTCGATTCTAGGGTGGAACCGCACACTCGGACCATGTTCACCCCTGATTACCCTATCCATTCTTCTAATGTACCTGATATCTTCCCACCAGATGAAGCACAATGCAAGCATTGGCAAGGTCGACGAGCCAGTACGGCTCGTAGAGCTGCTTTATGTGACTTCTCTAGGAAACATCACATAAAGATCTGTCAACATTGGCGAAGGCAGCTTTTGAACTGTTGAAATGGAAGATTTTCTGGAAGCCCTATCTGCTGAAAGTGGTACATGTAATTCTGTCTTCGGTCAATGATCCTAACTGGAGGACAAGATCTGCTACTTTAACGTATCTTCGCACGTTCTTGTACAGGTATTGCATTTTATGAAAGGCTCTTATGCATTGGTGGCAGTTGAATTAATTATTCTAATGAGTCATCTATGTTTTAGTAAATTACATTTTGTGCAGGCTGTGTTCATTTTTTGTGTGTTTGTGTGGACGTATTGTCTTGTTATTCTGTTGTCTTATCTTTCTGTGATGCCTTAGGTGGTTATGTAATGCAATCGATGACGTGCAGGACACTGTTTTCTTAAACCAATGTTTGTACTCAGGAGTTGTTTTCATGCCAGGCACACTTTCAGGGTGCGTATGGTAACATTTCTGTTGTCGTGAACAATTTCTTTTCAGTATTAACTTTTTCTATTTCTATTTCTTGGACGAATTTCTAAGTAGAAGAATACGTTTGGTAACTACACAAGATTTCTATTCTCGGAATAGAAAAAGAATGGGAAAGCGTTTGGTATGACCCTAAATTTTTTTTTGTGACTCGGAATTTTTTTTTAGTTTTTAAATAATTTTCCAAGATTTTTCTAATTTGTTGAATTTTTTGAATTTCTTCTTTTCTTTTTTTCCTCCCTCTTCTTCCTCCTTTTGCAAGTTGCCGGGCCTTGGCAGTGGCCGACGACCGGCCAGAGACAAGGGTCGGCGAGGCTCGACCTCCCCCAGAAACCTAGGGGTCGGCTTCGCTCAACCATGGCGAGGCCGACTTCTTTCAGCCATGATGAGGTTGACCTTGTCGACAATCGCCGAGGCCCTTGGATCGGCTAAAGGAGGAAGAAGAAGGAAGAAAAAAAAGAAAAGAAAAAAAAAAGAAAATCACATTGTTTCAGAAATTGTTTTCAAGAACAAAACAGTAGAATTTTTTTACTTTTTATTTTTGTTCCAAATTTATTCCTTGGCCACTTTTCTATTCCGAATAATAGAAAAATTAACTGACGTACACAAACTGATTTTTTTTTTCTATTCCAGAAAACAAAAGAATAGAAAAATAGAGAAATAAAAATGTTATCAAGGTATCAAAGTGATGTTCTTGATGTTTTAAGTTTTGCTAGTGTTAGAAGTATGAAGGGTAAAATAGTCTTTAGGATCTTTAGGACTTTTTTATTTCTGATTACTAATGTATATATCAAACTTTTAATACAATTTATTTTTTCCTCTCACATGGTATTAGAGCGTTGTTCTAAATTATCAAAGCAAGGTTTTTAACCCTAGTCGATGGAGCAATCACTTGTCGTCGTTGAGCACTCGACGAAATAGCTTGTCACCGCAACGACTTGACTCTGCTAACCACTCTCTCTCTCTCTCTCTCTCTCTCTCTCTCTCTCTCTCGTGTCCTCTAGGGCGCCTCCCTCGCGCGAGTTGTGCCTCCTTCTCGCCATTGCTGTGATTGGAGATCCCACCAAGATTGGAGGTCCTCTTGCAGCTCGGTGACTGCCTTGCTCCTACAACCGTGAAGTGATGTGATAAACTTGTCTCAACCACATACTGAATGTTTCCATGCCCTCAGAAATCTGTCTAATCTGTCGGCCAGGTCTGGATTTCTTGTTTTTTCAGCTTTAGCTTGTGGGTGTTCGACCAATCTAGTTATGGTCTCTCGATTGGTGGTGTTTGTGGGTCGTGGAGACTTTTTATGTGGTGATATATTTTTGATTGTGTTGGATTATTGAACTATCAAAATTGAAATTGCCCTAAGGATAATATTGTGAGAATTTTCTTAATATTATTAGAGAATGGGTGATTATGAGGAGAGTAATGATGTGATGATTGAGGTGATTTTCTCTTTGTCTAATCAAATTACCGATAAGAAGTTTGAGGGTAATGCTAACTTTTATCAATGGCAAAAAATTGCGAAGCTTACTTTGATAGGTAGGAATCAGTA